TACCTCCCTCTGGAGGCAGAATATCTAAATTTTCCTTTTAACTATACATGTCTTGTTATAGCTCAGAACCCATCATCATGGATGAAGGCACAGTATATGACAAAGGTAATGTGATTTTTAAAAAAAAAAAGGCAGTACAACTCACCGTGTTAGTTTAAATCACATGAGGATAATTAAATCTTTTTTTCCCCTCTAGTTGAAGATGTTGTGGGCTGCCACGTGGAAGATGCTGTAACGTTTTGGGCACAGGTGACTTCAGACAACTGTATGGTTTTAACTTCGGGTGTTTAATTTTATTCCCCTTCCCCAGCAAGTTTCTGTAGAAATGAGAATAAATAACATTTGATGTTGGAAAAAAAAAGAAATTAATTTACATTTTAGAACTGCAAGTATTCTTGTTCCTTTTTAGACTAAAATCGGTTATTCTTTTCTGGAATGTCAGAAAGAATTGTTCATCCACCTGTTTGAATTGCAGCTAGATTTTCATGAGTATTTAGTAGGCCAAAAAATAATAATTGAAGGTTAAAATACTTGCTGTTTACTGAGGAATACTGTATGAGTACCAGCTCCGAAGAGTGAATCGTTCTCATTAACGTGGGAGGTGCAGCAGATGAAGGGGAAAATCCAGAAGGAGTACCGAAGGTTGCCTTTTCTTTGTGGTTTGCAGGCAAATTGCTGTGTGCGTATTAGCCCACACGTTTGAGCCATTTGGGGGAGGTAATCCTGCTTCTCATGTCCCTAATAGGAATTTGGGGAGGGGGACCAAACTTTACTCACTCTGTTTATGGAATAGCTTCTTCTAAAAAAAGATGTATTTTTTTCAGATGTAACAGTTGTAGTAATTCTCCTTTAGGTTCTTATCCTGGCATTCTGAGGCTCCATTACAGTGTAAAATATTGTAAAGTGCAGAAGCTAGGAGTGTGCTCGTGTTTAGTTGCACTAGCATTTTCTTTCCTTTTATGAGCTCTGGTTTATTTTCCTTTGAATTACCAGTAGAATGTTGTCTAATAAATGTCATGTTACTCGAATCGACCGAGTTTTACAGTGGTTCAGATACCAGGTTGTAACTGGAAAGACTGATTCTCTCAGCCACACCAAAACCCAGGTCTTGCTTGTGAAGAGAACAAGGGGTGTACTGGAGCTGTTGTCTCTTTGTATTAAGGAAAGAATGAAAAAGAATCCAAAATACGTACTAAATTTGTGAGGAGGCTTTGTAAGTAAGATCTGCATACTGCTCGCAGAAGCTGGTAATTAAACTGTTAAAAATGCTTGTTGCAAACTATTTCTCTGGGGTATATTACCTGCCCCTGATATGTTTAATTAAATTTTGGAAGAAAACGAGAGCAGGCTCACAAATGGAACTAAAATAATGAAGATTGAAAACTTAAGGTGGGGCATTACTTGTCTCAACAGCAGTGCAACTATTTCGATTTCATTTTTGGCTGTTATGATCTATCAAACATCTATTAAAAGTGACAGTTAATAACTCATACCCTCTCTCCACACTTCTTAGAATGTCAATAGATGTAATGACCTTTTGAAATTAAGTTGTGCGCTGGCAGAAGCGTGTCCTCGGGCTAATGGAGTTTTTGGCAAACTGGATTTTAGTAAGGTAAGTAGGTTGTGTATGTATGGAGTTTTTTTTTCACCTGGATTTAAAAGCTTCAGTTCTATGCAACCATTTTCTTAGGTATTTTCTTGATCTTTGATTATGCAATGGGTTATTTTCTCTTAAGATTCCTCTAAGAACTGCTGTCTTTCCTAAAGAAAACGTGTATTTTGTGTGAGGAAATTTAAATCTTTCTGCGCTTCAGACTTCAGTTAAATTAGGCAAACATAGATGTGTTTTGGTTGTTTTTTTAAAACTCAGGAAATACTACAGGAAGGTAATCTACAGAGCGCTGAATTCTCTTTCATTGTCCAGTATAAGTTATAGGCTATCCTTAGCAAGGGGAGAGTGGTTTTTCAGAGAAGGGATTCTTTGTTCCGCCTAATGAAGATCATACAAAAGCCTGTAATGTTAAATGTGCTGGACACAGTACTCTTACGAAGATAACAATATTTACGAAGATAACATATTTAATAGCAGTTCTATGAGAACTTTTGCGCACAAAGAACGATGACAGCTTCTTGGTTTGTGTGTGTGAACTACTGATGGGTTATTGCAAAGTAAAGTATGAATGAAAGGATTTGTCAGGACTGTTTGTGTGTGCAGGTGAATGACCTAGATTACTTTTGAAAAGGAAGAAAATGCACCAACAGCGTGGTGTGACTGGCCTGTGCAGTTATAGCAACACATTAACAGACCAGCCAAGGGAGTCTGCTATGTAAAATGTTGGTGTTTTCCTAGTGTTCCTAGTTGGTGTTTTCTCTGAGCTATTGCTTTTGGAGCAGGGTATTATGTTTTTGAAGCACCTGGCATGTTATTAGGAGAGATAGGATATCAAATGTATTACTTTGTTTTCGTACTGTTGTCGGGATAATTACAAGAGAGTGTGAAAATAAAATGTTATGTATTACAAATACTATTTTGAAGTAGCCTTATATTTTCAGAATGCTATCATTGATTTATTTTTTCCTTTCCAGATTTATGGTGGGTGTTTTTCTGAAGATAAATGTTGGTACAGATGTATGATACAGCAAGTGATCAACAATGAAAAGGCAGGAACCATTTTTTTAAAAGTCTTTAATTGTTTCTACATACGGGATGATAGGAATAAATGAAATTTCTTCTCTTTATGATCCTTTCTGTGTGAATGCATTTAAAAGCAGTGAATATACATGCGGATCAAATTCAGGTGACCTGTAACTTTGAAAAATGCCGATGGCAAAATACGACCTGTGAAGTGCTATTTGTATCTCATGATAAAAAGAGATTCAAGAGTGGTGGTTAATGTTAAGCAATCTAATGTAATTTCAAAACAACTGAGTGGTGGAAATTGCAGCCTTCCTGTGACATGGTAGCACTTACGCAAATGACCTGAGAGAGCTGTTAATCAGCATTAGGTGACTGACACAGGAGGCCGGTAGTTCCTATTTAAAATGATAATTTCTAAACAGACTCCTTGGCTTGGAGACATGAGTTTACATACCTGTCCATTGAAGAAAGTCTTGTATTGCTTCTTAATCATAGCGTGTAGAGTGGGGGGAAAAGAAGAAAGCCATCAAAGATCTTGTTACTTGAAGTTTTGTCGCTAAGCTTGTGGACATGTGTGACCTTATGAGATTTTTCTAACTCCCTTCCTCTGAAGGGTGGCTAGGCTTAGTACAGAAGATTCTGGTCTCTGCAGCATGCACATGTTAAAATGCCGATATTCTAGTACTTGTCAGCGCATACTTCTGTAGGAGGCTTGTGTAACTTCTGCTCATTTGTGTTTTGTGTTGTTGCAGTGTCAGGTATTGTACATTGATTATGGAAATTCTGAGGTTCTGAATAGATCAGACATAGTTGAAATTCCACCAGACTTGCAGTGTCCCACTGTTGCCAAAAAGTACAGGCTTTGGGGACTGCAGATACCAGCTGATCAGAACTTAAACATGTTTGACCAGGTGAGTAACAGATTTTGAAATATTAGATGATGGACCTGTAATAGATGCTGCAGAATATCAGCACGGTGCCACCTGGAGGAGTCTTCTGAGAGCTGGATGTTGAACTCTTAAGGCAGAGCTTGCTGGAGAGGACTGTAATCTGTTGCCCTGATCACACTTAGAAGCTAAAATAATTCTGTCAAAACCGGTTCCGATTGTGCTGGGAGGTGATTTTTAGAGTACGCTTTTGCCATCTTCAGAGCCTCGAGTATCATTCTGACTGACCTGAGTTCTTTCTGGCGCCAAGGAAACAAAGTACTGCTGTTTCTTCCCCTTCAGAGCCTGCGATAAATTCACTTACATCTGTGAGCTTCTGGAATGCCATGTACCTGGGTACTCTTCAGACTTTTCGTCTGGAGAGAAAGTAACAGGGAATGAGAGTGGTGGTAGGAACCCTGTTGCCTCTGGCCAGCAGTGAGTGTGAAATCCTCAGGAGCTGATGCCAACAGGGCTGGAAGAAGTGACCCTTGGTCGAGTTTTACTGCTGACAGTGTCCCTTTCTGGGACACTGGTGATGGTCTTAGAGGCAGATTGCTTCAAGGCTCGTCACTGCCATGGCCTGTGCTTCGGTGGCATGGGAGCAGCAGCTGTCCTGCTCGCCTTGTCATGTTCCTCTGGCATTTAGAGGAGATCCTGAAACCCTTTATGTATGATCTTGTCCCTGTGGTCCTATTGGCATGGCTTAATGGGATCACTTAAGACAAATGAAAATACCTGTTCTCAGTTCCCTGTGGTTTCATTTTGTTTGTGTGATGTTTGGATTTTTTTAGCAACAGTTCTTACTGCTTGAGCTAAATCTTTTTTTTTGCTTGCTTTGTTTCGCTATTCAGCTACACACCATTTCTTATTTTTCAGCAAAACCAGCTTGTTTTCAGAAGTGGTGGGGAAAAAGAAGAAAAATATTTTCATAAAAATGACTTTCTCCCAGATGCCTTCTGAAGGTTTTGAGTGCAGTCCTCGATCTTTCAAAGCCATTTTTCTTTGATATTGCTGCCAATTCTGGCATTTCCCAGTATCAAAATGAGTAGTCAGTAAAGTAGAGTTCCATAACGTAGATACACATAATAATAAATTTGTCATTATATTCGGCTTCATCTTCTGGACCACTTATTGGAAGACTGTAAACAATGTCATACAATTTATTTTTCATGTTATTTTGTATAATACTGGTAAGTACTTGGTCAAATATCCTCTGAAAGACTTGGGTAAACTGGCTGTTGACTTTTGTTGAGAGTCTGTGACTTTGGACTTCAGTCACTTATCAGTGGTACGGAACTCCTCAAAGCTGAACTTTGAAGGAGAACTTTTGGTATTGAAGTCCAATCTGGCATTGACAGTGATTAGATCAGGTGCAGTTGTGGCTGTACAGATAACAGCATTGTTTCTGAATAAATATGTTAAAACATAAGCTTTACATGTGCGGCTCTCTGGGTTTTGGTCTTAGACATGTCCTCTTTTACTTAGAAGAAAAATGACTGGTTTAAGCTGAAAATGTTCAGAATGTCCAGTACACAACTTCATTTATTTTTCATGTTTTTATTTTACAGGGGAGGAAGTTCTTGAGCAGCCTAGTTTTTGAAAAAAGATTAAAAATACGTCACAAAGCTAAGCATGAGGATGGTACCATTTTTGCCCAGGCGGAGGATGAAAGTATAGATATTGGAGAACAGGTGGCCAGGGCAGGGTTTGCTGAAAAGTGGATGTCTCCAGGAAACACTGAAGATGCAGAAAAGAGAGAAGTAGCTGTCATGCAGAACGAACATGGGGATATAAAAGGTTCACTTCCATTGCGGAGAAACAGGTCTAATTCCCTGCTGTACAGCATGCCAGGAGGGCGATTTGACCTAGTTGCTTCAAGGATGAAGAATCAGAATTTTGCTGGAAATCGTATGTTTGCCCCAAAGTAAGGCAGTGAGATGTCATAGGAAACTGTATGAGTGAGCTGATTAGCTTAGTTGCTGGGATGTGGGTACATGAGAAGGTGCAGGGGGAAACGAGTCCCAAAAATACAAAGTTCGATTTCTGTCTTTCCAGCCTCAAGTAATGCTGATACTCTGGAGGGGAGGTATATCTGAGTCTGTGTGTGTGTATGGGTGTGCATGCTGTGGTGGTGGTAATTATAATTTGTGGAAAACTCGTCCTTAGTGTGTTTGTGGTTGCATAGCTTGTTCTTCCTCATTTGATTTCCAGAGACAGACTATTCTTATGTGTCTTAAAGCAAGATTTTGAAAGAGAAGGAAGAGATAGCAGCTAGTAAGCAGAGTTAAAAAAAAAAAAAAAAGCTTAATTGAAAGTGAAGGTTGCAGGACATCGGGCCTCTAGCAGATTTTCAAGTGATAGGCAATGTGGTGATGTTCGTGTTAGCATCTGTGTCATTTACAGAGGCTTGTACTTGAGGCTTTTTGTAGCTATCATGCATTTATTTACCCCTATTAAAAACTCATTGGACACAAATGCGGAAAAAAGTGTACTTACGTAGCAGGTCAGACATATTTTGGTGATTTGTTTGTGTAGGAACGTAAGTGTGTGCTTTTAAGAAATAAAGCCAGTAATCACAGTTTGAAGTAAGCTTTGGGGCATAATAGTGTCTCTGCAACTTGTAATTACATTGACAAGAGGTGGTGGTAAGTTGGCAGCTACAGTTGTTGTCAGAAATCTTTTTAAAGAGACTTGTCCTACAGTTGCTAGGATTTCCATGGCAACAGGCTGCTGAGAAAAATGTTTGTGGGTGGGAAAGATGGTACTTGGCTTTCAGAAAGTTGAGATGGTGTAAGAAGTAAAGTTCTCAGAAAAAAAATGGTTTAGAATGTTCTGTAATTTGAGCTTGAACATTTTAATAAATCACCTGAGGGCACACCGTTCTGAATACCAGCATGGTAGGCAGATCTGGTTTACAGTTTTATCATTGAGGTGACTCTTTGCTGTTAACAAATACTAATGTAAAATTACGTGCTCCTCAAAAAAAGTCTAAATTTATCGTAAAGTACCTCATCTGGAATTATTTTGATGTTCTGATCTGCCCTTTTTTCTGAGTTACAGATATGCTCTGAATCAAAAAGAAATAGTGGTGTGTTTTTGTTTTGTTTTGGTTTTGTGTGTGTGGCACTCATTGTTGAGGTACTTCTGTGTACAAAGCTATCGGGACTGGCCTGAGCAGCCGGTGACCAGCAGATTCTCTATTCCATTTTTGTATTTTCTGATGTCCTTTAACTTTTTGCACATCGCAGGCACATTAGGGGTGGTATGCCTGCAAAGGGAATTTGAGAAAGAAGCTAGGATGTAACCAAAGCCGTGCAGGTGAGGATGAAGTTGATCGCGAGGTTTGGTGACACTGTGGTACTGTATAATAGTGTCACAATACTCTGAAACAGATGGCTTCACATGACTCGTCTTTGTTATAAAAATAACTTCTAGGGTATAGATCCAAAACGCTAGCTTGAAAGTGGTTTGACTTACTTAATGTGCAGAAGAAATGGATTTTGGTTGCAATGGACCTTGGTTTTCCTCGCTCTGCGGTGTGGTATTGCAAGGTGTGTTTTGGATGGAAAAGACTGCAGCTGTGAAAACATATAAAGGGTTGTCTTCAGATGCTGTGCTGTTTTCCTTGGTGTTGCGTGACAGTCTTCATAAGGATTGATATTGAGAGGGATACAAATTCTGAAGTAAAACATGATTGTGTAGGTGCTTCTGTAGGTTTTTGATGTGGCATTCTGTAATCATTACTGAAATTATGAATTATGTGCATGAAAGAATGCACATTGTGTTTTGTTGATGTCTGTTTTGTTCTCTGTTAATTCCTCTTAATTAATTTTTAAAAGGGAAAAAACTCCAGCTTCTCTCTCAGTGCCAGATACCAGATTGTCACGAATAAGACCAGATCAGAACCTGTTCGAAGAGAGAGAAGGTCTCAGAAGGGAGAACGTAACACTCTTGCAGAAGCAGAAGGAACTAGAATTGAAGGTTCGACAGCTAGAACATGAACTTGAGGTACGTGGAAATGCAAAGGTGATGCTTCTGTCCTCGTGTTTCTGACAGTGCTTCTGTCTTACGGTTTTGTCATGCTGCAGTTGGGCTGAGCACTGTTGTTTGGAATACAGAAGGGTTCAACTGGTTGGGGTAAGACTTGTCCCTGCCCTGGTGCAGGGAGGTGCTGTCGGTGTGTGCTGGCAGGAGGTTCTCAGCCCAGATTGGACTGCGCCTCACTCCTCTTGCTGTACCTGCTGGCTTGCCACCGGGTGTGCTGCACCTCTAGTTTGAATGTAGGTTCAGTTTGAATGTGCAGTTTTGCACTTTGTGATTAAAAACACATTTTGTTTATAAAAATGTAATCCTTGCCTTTTTTTAGCTTGCTTCAGAGGGGGAAAAATAGGTTTCTGTGTGCTGTGCTGAAAATTCCTTAACATCATAGAATCATAGCAAGAATTTTAGAACTAGATAAAGATTATTATTTCCTTAATTGCTGCTTAATAAAAAAGATGTTTATGCTTCCAGAAGAAGTTCCTAGTGCTGAGAAGCACAGTACTTAATGATAGTTACTGATAGGCTTAAAAATGCCGTAAATGCTTTTTAAGTGTGATAAACAGCAACATTAAGAAGAGATTGCATGAAAGAATGCTTTGTTTGCATGAATTCAGAAAAACGTTGTGCAAACACAGATCCAAAAGGAAAATCTGCTCTTGTATAAATTCTTTTGACACCTCCAAACTTGAGCTTGCACACAGCTGTTTTTCTTTTTTTGAGGAATAAAACTGCTTATAACCAGCTTTGCTGCTTGGTTACCTGTACCTAGAACACCTGAGTTTCTACATATGCTAACCTGTCGTTGCACAAATTCTCCATCCGCTGCAGCCGGAGTGTTTGTGCACTTCTATACATATTAACAGGCAACAGAATACATGTCTGCAGCTAAGAAAAAACACTTGGGTGCAAGGAATTCTTAGAAGCATTTCTTATATATGACTTAGGATTTTTTTAAAAACTCTTTTCTACAATTTCTAATTATTATTTTGTGTTGAATGCAAGTGAACTGCTTTAAAAGAAAATCTTGTGGATATTCTTTAGCTCCCTGCTAAAAACACTGCGGTAGGCAACGAATTGTTTTAGAAGGGTGATGTGTGGTAATGGCTTTGAGGAATACTTAAAAAAAAGGCTCATCTGGCAGTTGTGAGATTTTGGATGCTCATCTGCAAATACAAAACTATTTAAATCCTTGTACTTTTTTTTTATTTGGTTTTAGGGTTTTTTATATAATTTTTTATACATAGTATGCAGAGAGTCTGAAAGGCTAGTGATGATTAAAGACTTTTTCATTACTTAAAGTGGAGTTAATGAAAGCATCTCTGGTATGAGAGCAAGAGCTTTTAAATTTAGATTGTCCTTTGAGGAATATAGGCTCCTGTGGTATGTGGGCTTCTTTTGTTGCTTGTAGGAAGGTCGGGCAGGATGGTTGTATTTACAGCAAGAATTCTTGTTTTGCTGCACCGCTTTGAGGTGTGGTAGTGATGGGAGTAAGGAGTTTAATGAAGTCCTGGACTTTTTTTCTTTTTTCCCCTGAACTAGTGTGTAGGAATCTTTCAGCAAGGGAAGAAAAAAATTTTATATTGCCTCAAGACTTGCTAGCAAGTGGGGAGTAATTCAGCGCACTTGAACACATCACTGCTGAAATGAAGGGAAGGAAATGAACCATTAACCTCTAAGAAGCTGTTAAAGAAAATCATAAAATTATTCTCATTAGTTTGCATGTTTTTCTAGGCCTTTTGTTAGTGTTTTGATGAAGAGGGCTGGCTCAGTGTGCGCGTGGGTGCAAGCGTGTGTTTATCTCTAGTTTTGAAAGAACTGGATTGAGGTCTGCATGTTAGTAATCCTGATTGACTTGTGACTGTTGGTCTGTCTTTACCTCCCTTTGTTGAAACACTGTTCCAAAACCAATACATAAATCAGAGAGAGAAGGAAGCATCTAGGAAAACTGCTGAAAGTTTTGAGGAAGCCCAACGTACTTGCATTGGAATGAAAATGACAAGTTTGGCTGCTAAGATGAAGGCATTAAAAGGAGTTAGGTATGTGTTTTTTTCTGAAATTGTACTATTTATCATTGCCCTGCTTATCTCTTGAAGTCATGCATGCTTTTCTGTTTCCAGAAAGTTTTGTTTTGTTAATTTTCTAAGAAAAAATTAATGTTGTTTGCAGAGGAGAGTGTTTCCCAAAACGATGGTTGAAAACTGAGGTTTTTGGAAGCACACAGTGGAATCTGCATTGCCCGCTTCTCAATGTTTAATAAATGAGTTAGGTTCACTTCTGCTCCTTTACCACAAATTTTGCAAAAAGAGCTTTCAATGCCATCTTCAAGGAAGATGCTAATTAGTAAATACAGCTAGTTGTTAAAAGTAACTGGGTAGTCAAGAGTTCTTCGGGTATCTGTATTGCTGTAAGAAGTGCATCTCTTTCGGTAGCTCTTGTAGTTTTAAAAGAAGGGACAAAACTGCAGTGGGAAGAAATAGAGATGACCATCAGCTCCTTGAAGAAGGAATATATATAAATATAGATTTATGTGTTCATGGAAGATGAGTAAAAAAAAAAAAATAGCAAGGGAGAAAATAGAACAAGAGGCAAATAAAGAGCAGGAAGGAATTTCCGTCTACAGCCTTGTCGATGTACTGGGATATAACGAATGTATGTATTCTAGGTTTTTCCTCCTTTCTCAAGATTTAATAGCTGAATGAGACAAATTGCTGCTGCTACCTTTTGAAAGAAACTAGGTTATTAACATTGCAGGTGCTATCTCAAAATTTGTATGTTCAAGGAGTCTAAAGAATAGCACTGATTTTTAAATTGCTTAAGCTCTGGAATAAAAATCCTGGTAAAATGTTGTTTGCTTCTTACAACTTAGGTGCAAAAATAAGAAGAATTGTTTTGAGGAGCAGGTTTCACAAGCCATAAAAGTGGTTACAGAAGGATGTCTCACTGTTCCCTGTTCCTTGGAAAAATTGCGGAAGATTTGGACCGAGTATGACTTGGCTCAAGACAGGATTCAGTTGTGCAGAAATGTGGTAGGTTGGATTTACTTTTTTTTTCTCTCGAGTTATGATTTAACAACTGTCAACAGAGTGTTTTAGTCTTATAAGTGTGTCTGGATAGTAGGAGCGCAGCATGGAAGCATCTGTCCTTTGCTAGATGATGTCAGAGTCTTTGCTACCTTTGCCACAACTGATATATTTCTGGAGCGTTATTTTCTTGTGTTATACCTAGACTTTTTGACACGCTTGATTTTGTCAAGAAATAGAAGGAAATCAGAACACCGTAGCTAGAAGGTTTTTGTTCCATAACAGAGACTGCTTCAGCTGTGCAGATGCAGCGTCTCCATTCAAAACCTTTCATTAAACCATTGATTAAAGCGGCGTGCCCCTACTTGGTGTGCGCTTCCATGGGCTGGGCAGGCGTTAGGGAGAGCGAGGGGGAAGGTGGACTTGTATAGGGGCAAGCTGCCATCTAGTGCCCTTTCTCTGCAACCACAGAGCTGAAGAAGCCTGCCTGGCTACGGCCGTGTTGGTAAGGAAGGGGATGTAGCGGCTCTCTCCCGTGCGGCAGTGGTGCTGTTGGGAAGGGGAAGGTGTGTGGCAGGCGTTGTGGTAAGGCGGGGAAGGGATGGTAGTTGTGTGTCTGGGAGAATGGTAGCAGATGTGTTGCGGCTATTTTCGAGTGTAACCTAAAACATTTAAAATGTGTTTGCTTAAGAAGCGTTGCTGCATTACACCAAATCTCACAGCTCTTGAAACAGACTAAAAATTAAGTTCTGGTTTTGTTGCTTGTGCAGGGAAAAGTATTAAAACATCTATAGCGTGGCATACATTTGATTGCTGTAGGTGAAAAGAAGCTATTTTGTTTACTAAAAACTAAGTCAAATGTTTAAACTTGACAACAGGAAGATAAATGTTAATAAGCAGATGATATTTCAGTGTTGGATCTTGCATAGGGGACTCATGTACAGAAGAACAGCTAGGCTGCGAGGTGCCTGGGAGCCAGGACTGCTTAGCGACACACTTGCAAAAGCTTTCCCTGGGTGAATTCCTGATCCCACACAATACAGTAGCAGTGAGAGTTTGCTGCAGATTACATGGGATGGTTGAGCTCAAGTAGGTTTCTCAGGCTTGTTCAACAAAGCAGACAAACAAAGCAAAGCTGGTGTAGAACTTGTTTTCACCCTATCGTCCAGTTTTGTTTTGACTTGGGCTGGGGATAGAGGGAAAGAAAATTCCTGATGTGGACAGGAATTAGGACAGATGCAGATGCAATAGTGTGGCTGAAGCGTCTCAAAAGTGTTTATTCGTTAGAGGAGATGACTGCTTTGGTGTCATTCAGGTGGCAGCGTATGTGAGGTAGTTTGTTTGGGTTTTTTTTCCTCTTTTTTTTCAGTTGCCAACCCCAGCAAAGCAGCATTTTTGAATGAGAAGGAGTTTCATACTTGAACAGTGCTTGAGGGCTTTCTGATGGGCTCGTTTGTTGGAATGTGTTAGACAATCTGGACATTGTTACCCATTTCAGTTGTGAATGGCTTGCAAGGAAGTCCTGTCTGCATGATGTGTTGTAGTGTGTTACGCTGCCAAAATATTTGAAATACTGATGAAATGACCTTAGAGCACTCTGCTGCTTCTCGTAGCTCCACGTGTGTTTGTGTAGCGCTCTGTTCTGTGGCCTCACACATGGCTTGAAAACTAGTTTTGTTCAGAAATCAACAGCACCCTCCTGGTACCCCCCGCCCATCCTGACGTTGTCTCTGGTTGCTTAAGATAAGATGTAGATGAATAGCGGCATGAAATCGTGTAACTTTCAAGAGCTCACTGTTGTCGTGAAAAAATTCTTCCTGTCTGAAGAGAGGAAGTTGTCATGGTAGTGTCACAAATATTTTAAATGGGGAAAAATAAAGAAGACAAGTTCTGCTGCGTGTCAGGTGTCCCCCAGAGTGCTTGAGTGCTGCAAAGGGCATGCAAATGAGCATGTGTTTGGAAGTGTAGAACTCCCTGAAGAAGTAATTCAGTTTTCAAGATGAATTGGTAGCAGCTGAAAGCAGGACATTGCAAAGCACTTCTCTTGAAGACTTTGGTAGGTGAAGGGTACAGGATAAGAGTTTTGTTGGCATCATGCTGGAGCTGTAGTACCACAAAGGTTGACCTGTTTTAAGTGTAATGATGTAACTCTTTTTTTCTGCTGAGAATCATTTTGATTTTTAAAGATCTGTTTTATGTGCTGTAATATGCTACAGCATCTCGGCTAGTGTATTTTCAAATACAAGAAATACAATACAAATGAAATACAATTTAGAAATACAGGAAATGTCCAGGATGCACGCAGTAAAGGAATGTGCTTGTTATTTTGCCTGTCATCCCTACTTGAATTATACTGACTGTAGATAGGCTAACAAATATTTCTGATAGTGCAGCTGGGTATGTTCACGTCACCACTTTGTTTCCTGCTCAGTTAAAATGAGGTAGATGTAAATCCAGTGTGCAGGAAGCCCACGGAATCCAAACAGATGGGTGAAATACCTGACTATTAAACTGCAGCAGACTGTTTAAGTCTGTTTCTTTAATCTGTCAACCTAGCTGTTGAAATTGGCTCTAGTAAGTTAAATCCTGCTCATCAGTTGCCTCAGCACTGAGCTCTTCCTTTAACTTCCCTGGGGTTCTGGTACCCTCTCCCTGTCACAAACCTTATTTGGTTGTAAGCGCTTGGGAGTGAACATCTTGTCTTGCTTTTGGGGAAACCTAATGCATCTTAAATATCACAGGTGTGAGTAAACCCAACAAAGTTTGAATGCAGAGTGAATGGCCTTATTTCAGTTTTTTTGTCTGTGCTTTCTTAGTTGGTTTAGGCTGGTTTAACTGGGTGTGTCTCCTGGGTACTGTCCCAAAACCGCAGATGGATGGCTGAAGCATTTGTTCTTAAAGTACTGATGTAATGTGTGTCTTGGAAGCATAAGAAGATAGTCAGAGAACCGAGGTAGTACTGGGGCATGGTGTGTATGAAAAGTGCAAAGGTGGTTCTCCTGAAGTAGAAATGCTTAAAAATGTGTTAAAAACCAATAGAATTTGATCTGGGCTTGATATCGGGGATCTTTTCCAGCCTCAGTTATTCTGTGGTGTAAATTCTGTTTCCCAATAGGAAGGCAGTGGTGCCGATCACTTAACCAGCTCTCCTATGAAATGTTGCTGAGAGAATGGCAGCTTTACAGCTGAAAAAACAGGGATAATTTGAAGTTCCTGTGATTGCAATGTAGGCAGATATTCGTAGGGTGTAATACAAATACTGACTTTTCAGACATTTTTGATAGGGTTTATGTATGTGTTGCTTAATTTATGATTTCAGTTTAGAAACTTATTCAAGATTTAGTTTCTTGGAGACTATAGCGTACATATTCAGCATTTTTTGTACAAGATGAACAAATAATTATGCTGATGTTTAAAAAAGGGGAACTGTTCGGTTGCTCATTTAAAAAAAAGAAAAGTGGGGGAGGGTGGGATAAATAGAACCATTTAATGAGGATGATGCTGCCAGAGCTGGTTTTAGCTATTCTGTATACTGCAAAGTGATAACTTGCACTAAAGGCAGCCAAAAACTGAGGCCAAAAGTAGAAATAGACTCTAAACATAGATTAGAACTTATCCATTGAGGGAAATTATTTTTTTTTCTCTTGCTTGTTAGGTCATTTAATCACATTAAAGAATGCATTGATGAAGTGGTTGCACTATACATAGCCTGCTCTTTCAGACTTTAACATTGCTGTAGTATCAGAAACAAGGTGGCTTGGTATTCGATGTGACCGAGTCTGCTGGTTGGTTGTGTGAGGTTTGGGGAGGTTTTATTTCTTCCTTTTATTTTTTTCCTTTAAGAGGTATACGATTAAATTTGTTGTTGTTGTTGCATGTGTTTTAAGTGCTGAAGCAATATATTGTGTTCACCTTCTGTAGTAGAACTTAATCCACTGATTTTTATTATCCAGCCCACTGCTGTCTGCCTGAACTACAACATCTGTTCACTTGCTAATCTTAAGTTCTAAAGTAGTGTATGCTGCAGCTTGAGGTTTTGTTTTCAGTTGAAGTTAGTCCTTCTTTCAATTTTTAATCATCAGGTCTCTTTCTGCCCTTGTTTGTTACAGGCAGAAGGTTTCCCATCTATCTTCTGTGGGTACTTAGAAACTCCTGATTAACTCCTGATTTATCCAAGCTGGATAAACTAAATTTGAAAACTCTGAGGACCTGTGTTTGTGTATACATACTTATACTATAGATATATTTATAATATAGATATATATTGCTTGTTAGTAGGAAGTATTAATCTGACTGTTATTTTGGCTCCATGTGAAACTGGTATTAATGCTATGATTAACTCTTCTGTTGTTTTCTGTTTCTTTACTAGTTCCCTTCCACACTAAACTTCAAGATTTGGGGGGGGGCGGCGATTGGGGAGGGGAGTGTATGTCAGGACAGTCTGTTATGGCTACTTGAGTCATTTGACTGTTTTTATATTTGGAGATGGAT